GAGCATATAATTGTACTATAGATGAAACTAAAATTTCAGCACCAGAAGTTTGGTTTTTACAGTGGTGTATGGGATTCAGTTCAGTTTTACTTAATGCAGCCAGATATGAGCCAACCATTAGTATATTTGTGAAAATAAATACCTCTATCAAAATATTAAGCTGTAGGGGCCGTTATACCAAGCGTGTTTCCTCCACTCAGACAACCCAGATCCAGCATACAGCTTGTCATTAAGATGAATGGTTGTGCACCACTGTACTCATGTATATGATGGCAACTGGAAACAAGTGGAGCATACAGGCATATCCATTTTTGGATATGCCTGTAGGAGCAAGAGTAACTCCACTTTTGTTGAGAAAAAAAAATAAATAAATTCTCTGTGATCAATGTACACAGTAAGGAGTTTACCAAGCTTTTCTGAAGAGTACTACTTGTTTCTGCACTGAAGAAAAAGCTAATCATTTAGAAAAGACTAAACCTTTGGGAGCATCTCACCAAAAATGAATTTTTTGTTGCAGGGTGATACCCAACATCTGACTTGTATCTTAGTGCAGACTTCTGAGAAAAGTGGTGAGCCAGTCACACAAGCAGGAAATGACTTTGCTTGGGAAGTTCTGTAAACCAACTGTATACAGAAGGCCTCCCACCTGGTTGCCATATTGCATTGAATTTTACAGACAATTACAGCGGCTGCAGATTGATAAAGAAAGGTCATTTTTAATAACATCAAATTACAACGTGGCTTCTGTAGGAATTGTATATGCCAGGGCTTAACAAATTTGCTTTGAATCTAGGAGCCAGCTTTAAAAGTTAGGAGCCAGGGGTTGTCAGCACACGGGACTTCACCCAATTTGTCACACTCCCATCACAGCAAAACCACACCATGTTTTAAGCGATTCTGCTGCAATCCCAGATGTGAATGGAGCTGCCCTGGTTCACACAGATTCTGGATTTGTTTTGAAACTCAGATTTACATAACAGGCTAGATATTTTGTGTTCCTATTGAGGTGGTTGACACAGATGCGTTTCACACGCATTGTGTTTTGAGTGGCATTATGAAAAGGGTCCTGTGCAAGTTTGCAACTGTGCGTTCCAGACTCAGAAATGATGGCATGCGGAGATAAGTGTTCACATAGGATTTCCATTGACAGGCGTTTTCCCATTGAAATCTATGGCGGGGGGGAGGGGCGCAATTTCCCATTGAAGTCTATGGGGGGGGGGGGGCAATGTCCCATTGAAGTCTATGGGGGGGGGGGGGGGGGGGGCAATGTCCCATTGAAGTCTATGGGGGGGGGGGGCAATGTCCCATTGAAGTCTATGGGGGGGGGCAATGTCCCATTGAAGTCTATGGGGGGGGGGGGGGGGGGGGCGGCAATGTCCCATTGAAGTCTATGGGGGGGGGGGGGGGGGGAAGTCTATGAGGGGGGGGGGGCGGCAATGTCCCATTGAAGTCTATGGGGGGGGGGGCAATGTCCCATTGAAGGGGGGGGGGGCGGCAATGTCCCATTGAAGTCTATGGGGGGGGGGGGGGGCGGGCAATGTCCCATTGAAGTCTATGGGGGGGGGGGCAATGTCCCATTGAAGTCTATGGGGGGGGGGGGGGCGGCAATGTCCCATTGAAGTCTATGGGGGGGGGGCGTGGCAATGTCCCATTGAAGTCTATGGGGGGGGGCAATGTCCCATTGAAGTCTATTGGGGGGGGGGGGCGGGCAATGTCCCATTGAAGTCTATGGGGGGGGGGAGCGGGCAATGTCCCATTGAAGTCTATGGGGGGGGGGGGGGGCGGCAATGTCCCATTGAAGTCTACGGGGGGGGGGGGGCAATGTCCCATTGAAGTCTATGGGGGGGGGGGGCGGGTCCAATTGAAGTCTATGGGGGGGGGGCAATGTCCCATTGAAGTCTATGGGGGGGGGGCAATGTCCCATTGAAGTCTACGGGGGGGCGGGCAATGTCCCATTGAAGTCTACGGGGGGAGCGGGCAATGTCCCATTGAAGTCTACGGGGGGAGCGGGCAATGTCCCATTGAAGTCTACGGGGGGAGCGGGCAATGTCCCATTGAAGTCTACGGGGGGAGCGGGCAATGTCCCATTGAAGTCTACGGGGGGAGCGGGCAATGTCCCATTGAAGTCTACGGGGGGAGCGGGGCAATGTCCCATTGAAGTCTACGGGGGGAGCGCAATGTCCCATTGAAGTCTACGGGGGGGAGCGCAATGTCCCATTGAAGTCTACGGGGGGGCGCAATGTCCCATTGAAGTCTACGGGGGGAGCGCAATGTCCCATTGAAGTCTACGGGGGGAGCACAATGTCCCATTGAAGTCTACGGGGGGAGCACAATGTCCCATTGAAGTCTGGAGGGGGGGGTGCCATTTCCCATTGAAGCCTGTGGAGGGGGGGGTGCCATTTCCCATTGAAGTCTGTGGAGGGGGGTGCAACTTCCCATTGAAGTCTTTGGAAGGGGGGGGGGGATTTCCCATTGAAGTCTGTGGAGGGGGGTGCAACTTCCCATTGAAGTCTATGGGGGGGGGGGGGGGGGGGGGGCGATTCCCATAGAAGTCTATGGGGGCGCGATTTCCCATAGAAGTCTATGGGGGCGCGATTTCCCATAGAAGTCTATGGGGGGAGGGGACGCAATTTCCCATAGAAGTCTATGGGGGGCCAATTTCCCATTGAAGTCTATGTGAACCCAGGCACCAGGACGCAATTTCTAGTCGCCACGGCGACCTGGCGCTTGAAAGCGGAGTGACCCTTTAAGCTGAATGGGCTTAGCCAGCCTGTGTGTACAAAAACTGCACAAAATCTAAACGCTATTAAATCAACATAGCTAACATTAATTATATTGCATCACATACCACTTTTAACATCTGTTTAGAATAATTATGGCTAAACAGCAGGTCTCCTTAAACCTGCAATAAAAGACAACAGGCAAATACATCTTTACAAGTTTATTTATATACAAGATACAGTACCTATGAATACAAACCGTTTTTAAAATATAGCCAGTAGATTTTTTTTTTTCCTTTTTTTGGGCTGCATTAAAGTTTTAATAGAGGTTGATTAGCAGCTAATATACTGACATTTTCCATTACAAAAAAAAAAAAAAAAACACAAAAAAAACAAACACAAAACAAAACAGAAACAGGAATGTAGTGTTAACAGAATCAGATCACAATTGTCTTGTATAAATGGCAATCTAATATAAATAAATATGTGTATTGTTAAAACAGAAAAGAAAAAGCTTTGGTGGTTAACCACCTTTTTCCTCATATCATGATCAGATATACATAAGAAAAACATTCCACAAATTCAGATAGAATGTAAAAAAGTATTCCTTTCTCACATTTTTGGAACAAACTGTCAGCATTTCAAAACTTATTCTCTAGCTTTAGAGATGATTTATGTAAAAATTTATAAAAAGATTAACAAGATGGCGGACAAGAGCAGTGACAAAAGATGCCACATTTCATTGAAGAAATCAGAGCTACATAGTGCTTGAAACAAATCTTGTCCAATACAGCAGCAGAGCTTTAAGGAATTTTCTGGGACACCTGAAAATCTGGATTGGTCTTTGGCTGCCTGTGTGCAATAACAAACAAGGTTCTCTTGTTCCCATGTCTGCATGTAAGCCAACAGTCAGGTTCTTGATGAAGACTAACATTCAGTTATCATTATGGGCCGTCATATTCACACAGCAGTCACTCTAGGAGTCCAGAAACCATTTTAAAGAAAAAAGGCAAGATGTGCTTCAATGAATATTAACAGATGACCAAGCAAAATATTGGCCAGCTAGACACCAGTCTCTAACATGATTATGGTCACAGAGGTCTGAATAGTTCAAGGGCAATACAAGGCTTCTTTTGTTGTATGTATGTCCGAGATACCATAAGCCTCCCTTCCCCTACTGAGAGTGGGGCAGACAATACTGCAAAGAGAAGTCAGAAGTAAGGATGAAAAGCACAGAAAATTCCAGAAGTATTTTCTGAGTATTAACCTGAACACATTGTTAGCATGTCTAATGTGCGGCCTAGGCACATTAACCAGGACCCAGTAGCTTATTACCCATTACTTCATGCACAAAACAGCTGCACTAGTTCTTAATGAAGTGGAAGCCATAGTATTTTATATGCCACATAAGTAATGAATATTAGCTTTCATAGTCTGCTGCATTTATGAGTTAATTAATAACCATCATGTGCTGCCCCACAGCTACCAGTCAGATTCACACCTGCACTGGAAAGTGACATTTGCAAGATTTAACTACAAATTTAATTGGAGAGTGGGCAACCAAGAACAGATCTTAAAGTCGAATCTGCAAGGTACACTATTAAACAGATACATATTAACTGTTAAACATTCCAATGGATGTGGAATTCTGTTTAGCCAGTCTTACGATTCACACATTTCTGTCCTGCCAGGAAGATCATTTTCCTATTTCCTACTTCACCTACACAACCTCTGGGCAGATACAATGTAACACTGCAAGCTAAAATTCTGAATCAATAAATAGTGTAGCTGTAGTCTGGCTGTATGGCAGAAGTTTGTAAATCACTAAACTGGTTGCACAGAAATCTAAACCCTTTGTCATGTAAAATTGTTAACCTATATGAATTTAAACTGTATATTTTTCTGGCTGGAGTTCCAATTTAAGATAAATGTTAAAAAATTCCAATATGTTGCCGCTGATCTCAGACTGCAAAGCATCATCTTATGTTGATGCTGTAAGTAAAACCTATACAAAATGGTTGTCTCAGATTGGATGAGTTGTGTTACATTACTATAATGAGAAGACAGCTTTCCCTGTGCACACATGCTCACAAAACCTCTGACTGACACGTCAAGAGCACTATACAACATTTTACTTTATACAAACAACATTTTTACAAAATCCAATGTCTCATTTGCAAGCTGCTGGGAAGTGCTACCAGGAAGAAGTACCATATTGGATCAGAAAGTCAACAGCCAGCAGCTTTTGTCAGTCATTGCAGGAGAAGGCATTATCAGCTTTCAGATAAGATGGGTCGTTGACCGACTGAATGTATGGTATTTTCGTTCAAATAAGTTTACCAAAGAAGGTGATTGGACATTCTGAAAGAAAAGAAAAAAAAAAAAGGGGGTTAAAAGTGGAAAATTTTGTAAAGAAGTTTAAAGCACATACAAGGGGCTCATTTAAGGGAAAACTCCAGACCATCTAAATAAGTTGCACAGATTTAGGCAGACTACTACAGAGCCTTAACTGCTTTTGTATATATTGAGAAAGGTTATGTTTTTACAGCTTTGATTAGAATATGGAGAGATTATACAAGTTCACGTATGGGACATTCACCTCGCTTTCTGCCATCACAGACAGGAAGCGCAGGCAAATCTCACCAAAGAGCAAACCAACCAGAAAACCTGTATTAACCCTATGGAACAACCTCTAGGAGTAAAAGTACTGCCAGTGGTTACATTCTGCCAAAACCAAACCATCAAGCAATTACAAAGAAGCTTTAAGACTTCATTCACACCTGAGCACATAGATTATCAGGCGTTTTGCAAGCATACACCTGCATATTAAAAGTGTAATACAAGTGTTTTACATGTGTATTCAAGCTTCAGGTGTTTTTTGTTTTAGCCAATGGAAAGCTCTAGGGGGAGGAGAGCTGCAATTTGGCTGGGAAACACATTACAAAATGCTCATGTTGTGCTTTTCAGGCATTCCCATTGAGTCTATTGGGCCAGAAACAATCCAATCTGCCTAAAAATCTCATGTATGTCTTCGAGCAACAAGTATTTTGCTACAGGGCGACAAAACGCTCAAATTTGAACAGGGACCATTGAAAATTGAAAATTTAGTTTGAGGAGCATCTTGAAGCTTCAAGCTACAAAACGCTCAGGTGTGAATGGGACTTAAACCGTTTATTGTAGTTCTGCAAATGTGGGCTTCAAAACAGCAAAATAGACATTCTAGGAAAGAATCCCTAGAAGATGAAGGAAAGCCCCACTATAGTGCAACTAGTGAATATAACAAATGCTCTTTCTTTCCAAGTCTTATTTTTGTCAACAACTCTGATTTAGTCCAACATTGCACCTAAATATGAATGGTTAAGAGTCGCTAAATGTTAAAAACCATTTGCTTGATTAATATAAATTAGAATTTTGCTAGAATATATTTTACTTAAACAATTATATTAAAAGGGAGAATAATATAGATTTCCAGTATGGTTTGTTTAATAGACCTTCTTCACCTTCTTCTCTGTAATACAACAGAAGAGACTATGAGCAGCATTATGTTAGCCCTTTAACACAATGGCCAAAATTATAGAAACAGAAGCTGCAGTTATAGTAAACTAAAATTGTGTGGACATCATCAAATATTTAAATTCATTCGTAGATCAAGGAGTAACTTTAAAAAAAAATGCTAAATAGGTATTAAGAGTCATCTTTCAGAAATAAAGATTTGTTTCAGGTTTAACAGCTCTAAAAAAAACAAAAACAGTACTGGTATCAATCACAACTGTGGGGCAATAGCCATGTTGCTGGGAAAAGATGATGGGTCCTTAAATCTTTTAGAACAATCATTTAGCATTAGAACAATCATTTAACATTTTAGCAAGCTCACAGTTTAAACATAAATCAAATCCCTTGGAAAGAAAGACAAGTATTGATGTTATCACCCTTTAAACGACAGTGTGAAAAAACATCTTGTGCCAGGCAGTGTGACCATTGGTGGAAGTGGCAGTTTATATAATTATATATATAGAAAAAAATCCACAAAGTTAAGAGAGCTCACAGAGGATTGTGGTTCACCTCGATGGCTCCTTTCAGATGAAAATAGATGTCTTGTCACAGGGAGTGTTAAGAACCTGCTCGCTCTGTCCTGTACATTCAGACGTAACAATATGTGGTATAGTATGTGTTTCACCCAACTGGCCAGCACAGAATAGCTGTGGGGTAGACTGACTCGTTTCTCCTTTTAAAGAACGAGGCATAGGACTGTTTGGGGAACCCGGGCAAAGAACTGAAAGGGATCTGGGACTTTGTGAGATCCCATCAAGGGAATTAGATCGTTGCACACTACTGTGTTTGGCAGGTCCATTTAGGTTGAAGGTAGAGGACGAACGGGTAATCTATAGATAAGAATGATTCGTAGAAAAAAAATAAATAAATATGAAACAACTGTAGTAAGGAAATTAAAATTTTACTTATACAAATTAAAAAATATATATATAAATTGCAGCTAGAATAATAGTATATAGTCTAAATAAATGATGAATATGTTGGTTCTGGTAAAATTTCAGGACTGCACCTTTTCATTAAACATTTTTGTTTGCCCACATCTGAATTCCTGTCCATTACCTGTCCCTGTTTAGGAAAGAGTAATCTCCATGCCACAAAAGGTTATTTCTCAAAAAAAAAAAAAAAAAACTAATAAAAAAGGCATGAAACGAGACTGGGATTTCAGTGCATTGCCAGAAAGTCAAAATCTTAAACTCCGATTTGAGCATCCCTGCCCCATGCCAAATGTTCCTCCTCCAGCAATTCTACACCTACACAATAACACAGAACAGTTAACATCAAGAGAATGGCTTCTTTGCAAAATCTTTGGGTCATGTATTTGTATGATCCCACAAAAATAGATCACCAAAAAAGTGAATGATTTTGTATTTTACTGCATGTTGCACAATCTGAAAGGTGGAGTTTGCAGTTTCCCAAAATACAAAGAAAATGCTCTGGAAGATCAACCAAGTCCCAAAGCCAGAGGCACACAAAAAAAAACAAAAAAACAAAAACGTTCATATAGGAAAACCAAAACACAAGATATTGGCACAGAAAAAAAAAATGTAGTACTTCAATTGCTGTATATGCAACTTGCTATTAACTTATATGTATATGATATGCATATACAGTATATTCTAGTTTAAAGATCACGGTTAGCTGACTAAGCTATGAACATTCACACGAGATCAGTTGTGAACTGTTAAAAATTGAGGTGCGCTTACTGCTAGAGAAGTGGTACTTGGCATGCGACTACTTGCAAATCCCTCAGTGCTTGGACCAGGACTCCTGCTATCCGGCGTATTATGAACCATCAGCGCCCTCTGCAGGGCTCTCTTTGGAGTCTTAGAGAATGAAAATGCTCTTGTGACCTATAAAAAAGGCAATAAATAACACACAGTCATTTGATATAGTTATCTGAGCTAGCAAAAACATAATGAGCATACATCAAAAGGTCTATTAATACAAAAATATATTCATTGGTATCAGTGTACACAGTACATTAGATGGAAAACAAATGCTGGTAAACAAGTAACATAGCATATGAACTTACTTTCTTGGAAGTTTTCTTTATAGCTCTCGACGCTCGACTTAATGTACTATCCACATCTTTTGTGTTCACTTCTAATGAATCAGGATCAGTAGTATAAATCAAATTTTCCTATAAAAAAAAAAAAAAAAAAAAAAAAAAAAGGACATGCAAATACAGAATTTTGTTCTTTTTTTAAATTGGAAAAAGAAATTGCAGAAACAAGTCAATGTTGAAAACCCCAATCCTAAAATAAAAGTTCCTGAACAAAAATACCTGTAAAATAAAGTGCATAAACCTATGCTGCCATCTAGTGAGAAACTACAGAAATTCCTGATCAAGGGAAAGCATAAAGAAAAGCGAGCAGTAAAATGCCTGAAAAGAGTGAGTGTGAGAGAGAGAGAGAGGGGGGGGGGTGTGGGGGGGGGGGGGTGGAGAGGGGGGGGGGGGGGGGGGGGGGGGGGGGGGTGAGGGGGAGGGAGGGTGGGGGGTGGGTGGTGGGTGAGTGAGTGGTGTAAATGTTCAATGTGTATTTGGATATACGCACACATAATAAACTAGATTCACCATTACTTTTATAGATAGAGCAGACTTTATATTTTGCTTTTTCACGTGTCCCATGATGCATTCAGAAGTGTTCCATAAAGAAATAAAACAACTGTCAAAGGCAACTTCTGTTTCAATTTGAAATGTATATTAAATGTAAATAAGTCACTTTATAGTGCAATAAAGGGATAACAGTGGTAAAAACTGCTCTCAAAGCTCAAGAGCAGCTGCTAAATGGCTTACTTCTTAAAAGCAGATAGCGAACAAGGAGGTAAGCAATACAGATACATATTTGGATTTGGGGAAACAAGTTATTCTTCATAAACCAAACCCATAGGCACCATCCTTTACACACATTTCTTTAAAACCATTTCATTCCAAAGCTACAAAATTTCTGGGTAGGGATTCATTTCTTAATAGGATTTAGTATATTTATATTCAAGAACTCCAATTGTAACACTACATATGCAGCACAGAAATGTCCACAGTCTCCACGGAAACACTGCTCGGCAAATTATTAATTTCATTTTCTAGGAGGAGGCGAGGGGGCACAAAAACAAACACACGGGGGTGGACAAAGCTGCATATTTATAACAGTCTGGAGCTAGTTGGAAGCACTTTAAACACAGTCACATTGATAAAGCAGTAGGAGAAAACTTACAGCATCTGCTTTACAAATGGTGTTGGCTATGTGCCGGCACAACATCTTTAGCCAATCTACCTTCAGAGGTTCTTCTGCTGTCAGCTGAAAACTAAATAACTGGTTTGTCTGTTCTGTTGGAGGTCGCACAAACCAATGCAAATGCATTATGACAGTCTGAAAATTAGAAAGAAAACTTGTTTATTATAGCAGTATTTATAAAAGTATTACCCATATTGGCACTTATAGAATTAAAGATCCAGTTTGTGATAAAGTAAGCAGCAATACAGCCAGTCAGAATCATCAAAACTGACACCACACTAGTGAGAATAGGGTCAATAGAACAGTATACAAGCATGACTACCTGAGCATGGCCTGCAAATTAATACATTAAATTCAGAAGTCTTTTAGCTGCGTTACCATGGCATGTAATTACATAGTTACAATGCTAGCTTTACTTTGAACCTATATTGCAATCCTATTACTGTAAAGGCACATAGGCAGACTACACTACCCTACTGTGTCAATAGCCAGTCTATTTCATAATCATGACATTTTAGACACCAGAAGTCACACATAATGTTATTTATTTTACTGCAAGTAGAGAAACCACATGAATTTGACTTGGTGTTTGCCTTCTAGTCATTGTACAAAGTTCAGACTGGAGGAAGGGGGACGCAGCACAAGCAGCAGAATGACATGTTGGCTTGTCCTGTGTACTGCTTCTCTTTTCACTGTTCAGTAACAGGCTGGGACAAGACTTGTAGTTTTGCCCTGCTACATTTCAATAATACATCTTCTGTCCTGCCATGTGGGACAGAGCTGTACAAATTCTAAGACTAGGGACAGAAATACATACCTTCAAGTTTCTAGTTACTTACCCTTTAATGTACAACTCACAGATGTGAGTAATCTGTTGCGGTGCTCTGCATTGTCAAAAAGTGACAGGAGGGGAGAGATTTTTCCATATACTGAGACACGTTAGACATTCACTCCAAAGGAATGGGTTTGCCTTAAGCTGCTCAGCAGGGACCGACTGAATTTTGATCCATGCATGGGGCAATCCTATTGGATTTTTGCCGCTCGATCAGATTCTGATGTCGGGGAAGTCTCCCTCATTGTCAGAATTTAATAGCACTGCTGAGAGGAATCTTATTTTTCAGAGTTTTGAGTTCCCAGAGGACAGTAGTGAATTTCATAAACAACTTAAAAGACTTTGGAAACCTAATAGGGCAAGACTAGATAAGCCCATCCCCACTTGAGAGCTTTTCAAGGCCATATGAGTGAGTTTTAGCAGCAACTGGGGTGAACTAAGGATGTTTACATTTGTGTTGACCTCGATCAGCTGAATATCGCACTTCAGAGGGCGCTTTGCAGGCAGTGGGGAGGTGTTGTACAGTTACACAGGTTTAAAAAAAAAAAAAAAAAAATTACAAGTCCATCGAATTCAACCAAAAGAAAAGAAAGGAAAACCATATAGAAAACCTCCATATACACAATTCTACACCCACAGTTGATCCAGAAAAATGCAAAAAACTCCAATAAAGCATGATCCAATTTGCTCCAGAAGGAGAAAAAAAAATAACATTCTGATCCCCGAAAAAGGAATTTGGATATTCCCTGAATCAACCATCTCTGGTCTTATTACTATATTAGTATCCAGTTTTTTATTTTGTGCACAGTAAAACAACCTAATGAGCTGGCCAGAAACATCTTGAGAAGCCTATTCCACATTTTCAGTTATTACTGAGAATAAGCATTTCAGAATGTGAAGGCTAAATCTCTTTTTCCTCCAGAAGTAAAGAGTGTCCCCCTGTCCTCTGTTATGACCTGAAAGTGAATAACTACACCAAGTTAACTATAAGGACCACCAATGTAATTATACATATGATCATATCCCTCTTAAATCACCTTTTCAAAAGAGAATACAATCAGTTCAGCCAATCCTTCTCAAGTTTTCCAATATAATTTTTGTGAAGTGCTGCCCAAAAACCGAAATCCATATGAGGGCTTACTGTTTTGTACAGGGGCAAAATTATGTTTGCCTCTGGAGCCTATACAAGAAAGTATTTTGCTAGCTTTAGAAACTGCAGCTTGGCATTGCATGCTATCACTGAAACTATGATCTACCAGAATACCAGGATCCTTCTCAACCATTGACCCTCCAGCTGTTCTCCAAGAACGTATGAAGTATGCATGTTTTTATCCCCAAAATACATAACTTAACATTTACCAATAAACCTCATTTCCACATAGTTGCCCAAATAAATAGTGCATTGGGGTCAACTTGTAAGTTGGAGACATCCTGTAAAGAAGATATTCCACTGCATTACTGTCATCTGCAAACACTGAAACAATTGTTTGGATACTAAACGCTATCATTTATAAATCGGTTAAAACAGTAAGGGTCCCAACAATAAACCTCAGGGTACACCAACAACCTTTGACATTTGCTCTGTCGCTGTGAGTTGGTGTATCCCCTCCCTCCAATCAGCTCTCAAAACTCTCCTCACCGAGCTCTGTAGAGTGTAACCTCAGACAAGCTTTATAAATTCTGTACTTTTAATGGATGAAGAGATAAGACGACTGCAGATATACAGGTACAGCTTATGCAGGAGGAATTGTTTCATCTCTATTACCTAAGGATAGACCCTTCACAGGGTATATGTAAGTTTTTACAACCACTTTAACCACTTGCCTACAGGGCACTTATACCCCCTTCCTGCCCAGGCCAATTTCCAGCTTTCAGTGCTGTTGCACTTTGAATGACAATTGCACGTCATGCAACACTGTACCCATATGAAATTTTTATCATTTTTTTGTGACAGATAGAGCTTTATTTTGGTGGTATTTAATCACCTCTGGGTTTATTTTTTCTTAAACAAACCAAAAACCACTGTAAATTTTGAAAAAAAAAGTTCTTAGTTTTTGTTATAAAAATTTGTAAACAAGTGATTTTTCTCCTTCACTGATCTGCGCTAATGCGGCTGCACTGATGGGCACTGATAGGCTGCACTGACGAGCATTGACAGGCATCACTGATGGGCACTGAAAGGCGGCACTGATGCACACTGATAGGCACCGATTGGCAGCAGGTGGCACTGAAAGGCAGCTCAGATTTGCACAGATGTGGCATTGATGTGGTACTGATGGGCACTGAAATGTGGCATGGATGACCACTGAGAGCTGGCACTGATGGACACTGACAGGTGGCGCTGCTGTGGCTACACAGATCATCAGGGCACACTGATCATCAGTGCTCTGATGATCAGTGTACATGTCCCCTCCGAGGAATGCCGATTACCGCTCTCCTCCTCCCTCTCGAGCTGTCAGCGTGACAGCTCGTGGGGGAGAGAAATGCAGATAACTGGCATTTACCTGTTTACATGGTGATCAGCTGTGATTGGACACAGCTGATCACACGACCGAGCCGACATCTTCGGCTCTTTCCATTGATCGGTGATCCGCTGTGTCCGAGGGACACAGCGCACTGCTGATCACCGCGCTGCGTGCTCGCGGAGCCACGCATGCGCAGTTAGAATGGGAGGACGTCATATGACGTCCTCCCAGAACAAGAGAACTGCATTGCGTCCGTCATTTTATTATATGGCGGGTGGGAGGCGGTTAAAAATGTGAGTTATTGCAGTTTTTTTACTAATTAAAAAAAAAAAAAAAAAAAAAAAATTACTGCAGTTAGGTGCACCCCCTCTGCTGTTTTTCTTTAGGAGATCCTTCAAGGGCAACTTCACGTTTCCAGGCAAAATGTCACTTTACATAATAATTAGAAGCCTTTTCTAATATCTTTTCAGCCCAAACCATCCCAATGTGCTTATATCTCACTTGCCTAGTCCAGAGCAGCCTTCAATCTGAATCTCTGTTCAAACTTTCAAAAAAAGTATTCTGAGCCCTAACTTCCTGTAGTATCAAGCGACCACCCAGATAATGTCATATCCCATCATGCACTGTCTTACTGCATCATAGAACAGTGATATTCCTATCTCTGGACCATACCTCTTTCATCACTATACCATTTTATTTCTATTTCTACCCACTTTCCCACTTTGTACTTTACTTATTTAGCATGTTTTTCCTGTAACACACACAGGACAACCCACTGGATTTTAACAGGCTGTACTATGAGTGACAAATGCAGCAGAGCAACACATGCAGCATTTGGGTGCTGCGGTTTGCATGTTTTTACTGAGCATTTTTGCATGTGGCAAAAAGCATGTTTGCTTCCACATTTGGGGTACCGTTAATTAATGGCACCGAAAGCTGGACTAGTTCACATTAGGTGAATAAATGTATCCATACACTATACAATTTCAAATCTTGTTTAGATATACCCAAACTATATAGTGGACCCACCTATCTAATCACAGTATCTAATCAAGCAGGCCCATGCACTAAAGAGTTGAATGTAGAACTAAAGGACATTGTACAATCAGATTGTATAGTGTTTGGTGAGCTTTTCAGACTTCCAGGGACACACCTATTTTCAGTACTACAGCTCTGCTCCACATAATGTGATTACTCAGCTCCTGCACATGCTGCCAAATGAACGATCTATGCAAGGTGGTAAAGTACAAAACTATTAATCAGTACAAAACACTAGCTATGTATTCAGGGAGAACAGTGCTCACTGACATTACCTGCATTGGAGAAGCATTAAAACTATAAAATGATCGGCAGGCGCAATCTCTTGAAGGTGGAGGGCAGGTGCAGGGGGTGTTTTAATGAGGGGAGATGCTAAACCCCTGAAAAGCAACTCCACATCATAATCCCCCCTCCACCAAACTTTAAACTTGTCAGGCAAGTACCTTTCTCTTGGCAACCGCCAAACCCAGACACATCCATTGGATTGCCAGACAGACCAGCATGATTGGTCACTCAAGAGAACACGTCTCCACTGCTCTATAGTCCAGTGGCAGCGTGCTTTACACCACTTCATCCAACACTTTTGATTGCACTTGGTGATGTAAGGCTTGAATGCAGCAGCTCAGCCATGGAAACCCATTCCATGAAGCTCTCTACACACTGTTGTGCTAATCTGAAGGCCACATGAAGTTTGGAGGTCTATAGCTATTGACACTGCAGATAGTTGGTGACTTCTGTACACTGTGTGCTTCAGCATATGCTGACCCCACTCTGTCATTTTACGTGGCCTACCACTTCGC